ACCGAACCCAGAGCCCCAGGACGTCCTAAAAAGGCTCGGATGTGTCATCGGGCCTTTTTGCCCAGTCCTAATTCCTGAATCGGCAGGCGCGAGCAATTTCCCCAGGAGGGCATTTAGACGGGAGATTGAATGAGTAATTTACTGGGCACACTGAGACGGCACCCGATCACTTATTTATGAGCACTTCCTGACAGATCTGGCGCTCAATAATTGATGCTGCGCGGCGTTTAGCCAGGGTCACCAGTAAATAATTCACTTATTACAAACTATGGGATGTTTTATGATGCAGTGAATTACGATCCCGTGCCCAATGCGGGGCCGTAAATATCAAACCCGCGACAGGTCCTTAATAGAGAAGACTCTGCCCTGGCTCTCCAGGGGCCCGGCCCCAATTCTGCCAAGGGCCGGAGCCTGTGTGTGTGCCTTGAAGCCTTTTTGGGTCGGATTCTCATCTCAGGCTGGGGTAGTGGATCCAGCCCTGATCCCGGCTTATCCCCAGGCCCATGTGGGGGTGAACAGTGGTGGTGTTTGGCCCTCAATTGAACCCCTCAGCCCATGGGTGCCAGTCACACAGCCCTGGCCCAGCTGCTAGGAAAAGCATCCTTGAGCAGGGCTGCTTGAGACCTGCTGCCAACAGGTGGAGGAACCTGAGGAAGCAAATTGGGATGAAAGTGAAGGAGAAAAAACACCAGAGCGTTTGGCTTTCCCCTTCCTGAGGGCCTCATCTGAGGTTTGACGACAGAGGGAAAGGGTTAAAACAAAAACTAGAGTATGAAGTTTAAAGACAACCTCCCCGCTCCAGCCCATCCCAGCTCGCTGGCTTCCATCTGTCTCGCCTGGGGTGGAACAAAACAGCAGCCTTCCCCACCACCATCACCAGGGGTTGCTTTTTTCCCCTCTTCTGTTTCCTCCAGAAAAACACGGGGTGGAAATGTCATTTGTGGTACATCCCCCCAAAACAGGTGAGGCTGCAACACCCTGGTGCAGGGAGGTGCCGGGCTTCGAATGAGCTGGACGTGCCCAGGTGGGCACTGCCCACAGGGACCCTAGCCCTGGAGGGGCAGTTGTGCCTGTGAGCTTCCCCGATGCCACTGCCAGGACATTGTCCTCCCATGCAGCCTGTGCATCTCTCCGGGCTTCCTTCCCCACCCAGGATGACTGCTCTGGGAATGCTGAGGCAGGGCAGGGGGCCGGGGGGGGGTGGTGGATAAAAACAGACCTTATTATCCCCACAACTTTGCTAAAAGCACCAGGAAAAGCAGAAAGCCCCTCAGGGCCTTTCTGGGGAGAAACAGGGCAGCAAAATGGGTGCATTGGGGGAAATGAAAAGCCCCTTTGGTGCAGAAGGCCCTGTTGGGTTTGCATTCGAGTGGTGTTGTGTTTTACTGTGCCGAGCCTGCCTGCAGCTCTGGGGACCCGGTCGCCAGCTGTGATCAAACAGCCCTTGGCAGCTGGCCCCTGGGGCCCCATTCAAAGCCCACAGCCATTCCCCCTTGGGCAGGGTGCAGGCAGGCCCCATGCCAGGCCCACGTAGTGCCCAAGCAGGGCCAGGTGGGAGCTGTGATTTCTTGCCCTGTAGGTTTTGGCTTCAGCAGGCAGCTGTGATTTCTTAGGAGCCAGCTCTTGTAAGCCACATAGTCCTTCAGTAGCCAAGACATGGAAGAATAAGCCCACAAAACAAAGCCCAGCTCCTAGAGGAGCCTGCAGTCACAGCTTGTTTTCCTCTTTGTAAGCAAGCCCTCTCTCAGTTGCCTCCCTGGGGCTTTCAAACTGGTTATCAGATGCCCCACAGCTGTATCAGATGGCCCACAGCTGGATGCTCTCAACAGGGCCAACTACCCCTGCTTAAAGGCACAGACCCTCCTGTTCCTCTGCTGCTGTTCAAGCCCTGTTCCTGCTAGCCCCCCCTCTATTTCTTTGCCCCTTTGGGAGCCTGGGGGCATCTCAGCTCCAGGTCTTGATGTGGACAACGGCCACCGTGAGCAGGAGGGTCCCGTAGACAGCGGCAATGACATAGCCCTTCAGGGCGCAGGAGCATCCTCCACATCTGCTCTTGTCATGTCCTGGATCCTCTCCGGGCCTGGGTGTCCCCCCGGGGTCCCCAGTGGAAGTCCTGGCTCTGCTGCCCACGGGCGTTGTCGGTTCTTGCGGAGGTGGCCATGTGCTGCCAGGTGGGCCCAGCTGACGCACTGTGCCGGGGGTGAGAAACACAACGACTGTGTGTTACACACAGAGCCTTGGTAGGGGGATGTCTGGTTGCTGCTGGGGTCCAAGTTTGGGTAGCATTGTTGGGGGGGAAGGGGGGAGTGTGATGTGGGCTGCACCCCCATAAAGGGCCCAGCTGCTACTTCCATCCTGCTAAACAGGAGGGGAGGAAAGAGGAAGAATGGCAGTGATGAAAGCCAGTTTTCTCCCGGCAGTGCCCTTTGGCTTCCTTCCATGTTGGGCAATGCAAGGAACCACCTACGTCACAGCCCGGGGGGGCCACGTGGTGGCCTTGTGGGGGTGACTGAGCTTGGCAGCCCCCACGGGTCACAGGACTATGGCTTGCATGGCTTCATCTAGGAACTTCTCCTTCCCCTTCCCACTTCGCCCCGCTCGCTCGGTACCTGTTTCCTCCTCTGTAGAGCAGGGCGAGGGACCTCCCCCAACCTCCCCCTGGCATGCCAGGTGCTGTATGTAGATTGGGGGCCGACACTCAGCCCTGAGAAACATGGGAAGGAGCATTTCCCCCACCCTCTGCAAGATGAAGGGACTGGATCAGGGTCCTGCAGGGAAGCAGTGGTGGAGCCAGGACTCGGCCCTGTGGCTCCAGCAAGTGCCACGACATGAGATGCAGGGTCTGGCAGGACTCACCTCGGATGATCAGCTCATAGTCGAACATCTGTGGCTGGGTGGGGTTGGACTGGATGTCCACAGTGGCTTGGTAGACCCCGCTGTCCGACAGCTGCAGTGCCGTGATCTCCAGGGACAAGTTGCCACGGTGGAGGGCCAGGCGGGGCCGGAGCATGGGATCATAGTCGGTGCGAAACTCCCTGCTCAGCGGCTTGGCCTCAGCTATGTGTGTGCCACGGCTGGCCGAGAACCAGATGATCCGTGCAATGTCTGGGGCCACGGGGCGCAGGGCAGGGAAGGACAAGGACTCCCCCATGAAGCCCTCCAGCCGTGTCTGGCTGCAGGCAAGCTGCAGAGCTGTGGAGCATGGGGGAAGCAGCCTGTGAGGGGCTGGGGGTGGGTATGGGGCAACTGAGGCTTATACCCCCAGACCCTACAAGGCCAAGAGGACTGGGAACTTGTGCATGCACCGGGCAGAGAACCCAAGAGTCTGGCGTGCCCAGCCTCCAGCTCCTGCAATCAGATTCTCTCCCACAACCCAGGAGTCTATTGGCTGCACTGGGCTAAACTGGGGGCCTGGCTTTAAAGCTCCCCAGTCATACCAGTCTAACCCCTTGTCCAGGCACTGGGAAACTAACCTCAATCCGAGGAGATGCTTTATTGCAGAGCACTTTCCTTAGATCTGTGCCTTCCTTGGCTCTGTCCTCTGGGCATTTGTCAGTTCTCACCAGGTCTGGGGTCTCATATTCCCAGCTGGACCCCTTCTCCATGCCACCCAGGCTTCAGCTCCCCAGTGCCTGGCCCTGGCATCCCTAGCCCCTGCAAACCAGGCTGCCAGGCCAAGGTGACCCATTGCCCCAGAGGGAACCAGCTGCTACTTACCCCCCATAGCCAGGAGCAGCGGACACAGCCACATCCCTCCAGCTTCCCCTGGCTGGGCACGTCTGTGCTGTGGGGAGCCAGCCCTGGCTCTGAGTGGGGGACCAAGCAGCTGCCTAACAGGCGCGGGAAGTGCAGGGGAAGCTGCGGTTGGCTGGATGCTGCTGGCGTGATGCTGGTCTCTGTTCCTCTTTTTCCACCGAGAATCAATATCTTTCAGCAAGGAACAGAGAGGAAATATGCTCAGGGCTGGTGGCAGTGGAGGGAGGGCTGCGCCTGCCGGAGGTGGCGATGGGGGCTGGTTTTGGGGGCATTGCTTGGTTGGCAGCACGTAGGAGAATGCCAGGTGTGTCTAATGGACCGGGCTTGCTTGCAGCAACGTGGATTAGGGGATAGAGCAAGGCCGGACTCCTGGGGTAGTTCTCACCAGGGTTGTTTTCACCCTGATTCTTTCGGGGGTAACCCTGGTTGCCCCAGGGTGAGGGCACATGTCATACGTCCACTGAGTGTCCGCACGGGTGCAAAGGGCAGCTGCCTGGGGTAAGTGTCTCTAGGAAAAGGAGCAAAGGGGCAGGAGTTACGACTCCTCTTGAGGGTCACCTCATGAGCAGGGCAGGCTGTGATGCCTGTTCCCAGAGCTGCCTGGGCCCTTTGCTCTATCATGGATGGGAGCAGGCCTGGGGGGAGGTCACTGGAGGGAATAGCACCAGGGTGCAGCAGCAGACCCCATGCAGACCCTTTGCTGCATTGGGGCAGGGGGCAGGACGGCAAACAGCCCAGTCCTGGAAGCAAACCCGTCCCAGTGCAAAACTGGTTGAGTGCTGCCATCTGCTGGGTTGAGCTCTCGAAGCTCGGAGGGATTTTGTCTTCTGAAGCCTTCTTGGGGCAAAATGAGCAACTTTGGCCCCAGCCAAACCTTTTGCCCATGTGCTTTGGCTCTTACTTTGTTTCACCCCCTCCCACCTGGTTTGTTTCAGTCTTCAGGCAGCTTGCAGGGAGGGGGAAATATTATGATTTCCTTCAAATATTGGACCTGTTTTCATCACATCCCTGCCTTTCCTTGCCCGCCCTCAACCCATTGCAGAAATCCAAGCGACCTATCAACAACTTTGGCCTCTCTGGCTCTTCTGGCAGCACTGTTTGCTTTGGACTTTTCCTCCCATTTATCTCAAGCCCAATTTAAAACCCCCTCCCAGAAAAGCAAGAACCTGCTGGAGGCAGTGCCCAAGGGCCTGTCGCCCTTGGCAAACACCCGGATGGTCTGAGAGAGCTGCTCAAATGTCATCCCTGGTTTATTGAGAGAGTTGTAGGCATGAGGAGATGCAAAGCTGGTGTTAAGGGGGCTCTGGGTGAGGTCTGTATCTATGCAAGGGGAAGGGCAGGGTTACCCCCATGTAGGGTAGCAGGAGAAGACAGGGTCATGGGTTTCATAAAGAGGAAGAAGTTGGGCAATGCATTTTGGGTCGGGGTCAGGGGTCTGTTCCCCTGTGGGTATAACTGGGTTAAACCCCAATGGGATGGAGGGGAAGCTCCCATGGGAGGTGGGAGAATACAGAGGCTTCCCAAAGCAGCAGCAGCCCTGCAGGATAGAGGCGCATTCAGCCAAGATGATGCCAGGACGAGACACGAGCTGAGCCAAGCAGCAGCTGGGCTGGGAACTTCCTCCCGGTCCATCCATCCATCCCTCCTGGGTGCAGCTCACTCCTGGTGTTTGTAGTGGGGCACAGTCATTGCAGGGCCACCACCATCGCCAGGACAAAGGCCTTCAGCAGGCAGGAGAGCATCACACTGGCCATGGAGTGGGCTGGAGCAAAGGACGAAGAATTGGTGAGCTCAGCCTGGAGGCCCCCAGCCCCAGCATCCCTCTCTGGGGGCTCTCCTGGTGCCCCAGGGTGATGTAAGTGTTGGGGGCAGGCGCGGGCAGCACTCCAAGGGAACCCCTGTGTATCTGTATATGTATCATTCTGTGTGTCCACCCTGTTCCCCGTTACCCTGGGATAGCGCTGTGCTCAAGGCCAGCCAGCTCCCTCACCACCTCAGCACCTCCCTCGGCACCTGGGAGTGCTCCCTTGGGGAAACTGAGGCATGGAGCTACAAAGGGCCAGTGCTTTCAGTGCATTTAGGTGCCCACTTCCTCCGGCCCAGTGCACAATTACCTGCTGTCTCTACGCTGCTGTGGCAGAACTGGTAGGGTTCGATGCTGAGGGAGCTGGAGTTGCTGGTGTCCTGCACCGTGCAATTGTAGGATAGGCTCTTGTTCGAGGGGTCCAGGTAGAGGGAGAGTTTGGGACCCTGGCTGGAGGGACCTCTGCCCACCTTTGCAGGTCTCCAACTGTAGGTAATGTCGCGGTCCTGGCCTCGTGCCACCCGGCAGGTCAGGTCCAAGCTGCAGCTCCCGTTGGACCAGGAGATTACATTGCCCATGATGTCTGCAGGGAAAGGGAAAAGAGGGTGGGGGGGAACCAGACCGGTGACCCCCAAGCAGACCTGGGGGACCCTCCTGGCATGGAAGCGGACCCACCACCTGTTGCAACCCGCCCCCCCCCCGCCCCAATCTGCAAGGCCCCAAGGGCTCCTGTGCTCTGGGCTGGGGCTGTGCCATGGATGTACCTGACTGTCCTTGTCTGTGTCCCTGCTGCCTCCTGCTTTGTAGAGGGGATATGATCCCCCACAGCCCCTCTGGATATTCCTTCCTAACCCCGGAGCATGATGGTACTTCTTGCCCATGGATATCTCATTTCTTTCTCTGGCACTGCTTTTACTGACGAGGTGAAACCAGCTGCCCTGATGGGGAATCCCATGGCATTTGGCCTCATGGACGTGCACCCCACTGGCTACGACTTACCAAAGACGAGCAGGCAAAACTGCCGGAGTCGCTTGCGCTCTGACCCCTTCTGTGTGGCTGCCACGTACAGGCCACTGTCTGCCAGTAACAGGTTGCGGATCTGCAAGCTGCCACTGGGCTCCTGAAGGGTCACTCTGCCTGCCAATGCTGGCAGCAGCACGAGGGTAGGCTCTCCCCGCTGCTTGAGGACCACTGGCTGGCCGTGCAGAGTCCAGATGAGGTAGTCAAACTTGGAGCTGTCTCCCACCTCCACGGAGAATGTAACCTCCTTGCCCTGGAGCCTGCTGATTTCCGGAGTGTGTGAGACCACTACGGCACATCCCAGAGCTGGAGAAACACACAAGAGGCCACAGGAAGGTGCTTAAGGGCTCTTGGTCCTGGAAATGCAGCCAGCTCTAGGGAGGATCATTGCTGCTCAAAGCAGCAGCTCAGGGTAGGAAGGGAAGACCGCTGCACCCCATTCAAAGCACAGAGTCTGAGGGTCCAGGGTGGCAACCAGCACAAATGAGGGCCCTGCTAGACATTATATCTATTACTCCATGAACTGGTTAACGGTGCGATACATTTAGACCAGCCACACATGTATGAGATAAAAATGGCTGTCCAGCTACAAAAAGGAGTCAACAGGCTATCCAGTTAATGCTGGAAAGTGTGTAACAATGCCACAGCTGGTTTCTACCCAGCTTTCATTTGAACATGTTGCAGCCCTGAGATGCATGTGCAATTAGGGACAAATTCCTGGGTCTCTGTGCTCCGAGCAAACCTACGCTTAGCATGAGGTGACAGGGGAAAGCTCTGTAGCTGGCTCTGGTGTGGGTCCCCAGCTACTTTTGGGACTTTGCTTTGGGCCCAGGCCCAGCAAACTGCTCTGCCCTGCCCCTATTACTAGTGGCAGCATGGCCATAGCCCCATGAGCCTGCAACCCCGTTGTGCTCAGTGCCACAAAGACACCTTGCAGTGCATTTCTTTGCACTCTGCCTGCTATCTCCGGTGCTAGACAGTAAACCTGTGCAAGTCAGCAGCAATCTGATCTGGCTTTGGATCCAGTCGCTTCAGATGGCCGCGGTCCAATTGGGAGCTCCGAACCGAGTTTCCACCTTGATCTGGCCAAGCTTTGGAGCCGCCTCAGAGATCCGGCCATAGGGTATAATTGGGAATCAAGGAAATAACTATAACTTTGTTGTTTTTTGTCTGATTTGGATGAACCTTGCTGGGATGGTAGCCTCTGCTGAGAGCATGAAGCCTGCCAAGTTTCAAGAAAATCGGTGGAGGGGTTTGGGGGGAGCTGTACCCCAAATTCTTGAAAGCAAAACTGTCCCGTCTATGTGTTACAACACAGGGGGGTCAAAACTGCAGGGCTGGTGACTCTTACTGAGGCCACAAAGCTGAGATCGGTGCAGGGGTTTGGGGGGAAGTGCCCCCCAAGCTGCAGACAAGCACAACTGGTGCCACGGGTGCTGTGGGACTGACCGTGTCTGTCCTGGGGCGGGAGGGGAGACACTGCTGCAGGCCTGGCTGCTCAGCTGCTGTGTTCCCGGTTACCAATCATTCAATCAATCAATCAATCAATCATAATTCACTTGGGGATCAGGGACCCAGGTCCCAGCTCAATACACAGGACCTAGCTACTACATAACGACTTAACGAGCAGCAATTAGCACCTACAAACCCAGGCTAAGGAGAGGAAGGACTCGATACAGACAATCAACTGCCCCCGGACAGACACAGGCTTGGCACGAGTGTTGCCTGTCAGCAGCCAGGGGTGCAGGGCCCCAGGACCCCCCGCACCGATCTCCTCCACAGCTGGCCGGCGTCACAGCAGGGGCCACCACCCCTGCAGCTGTCACCCCGCTGCGCCTTAGCACACGCAGTGTCACCCGTGGCACCAGGTGTGCTTGTCCGCAGCTTGAGGGGCAGTTCCCCCCAAACCCCTGCACCGATCTTGAAACTTGGCAGGCTTTGTAGCCTCAGTAAGAGCCACCACCCCTGCAGTTTGGACCCCCCTGTATTGTAACACACAGTCGTGACATGAGTTTGGCTTTCAAGAATTAAGGGTGATGTTCCCCCCAAACCCCGGCACCGATCTTCTTGAAACTTGGCAGGCTTCATGCTCTCAGCAGAGGCTACCATCCCAGCAAGGGTCAGCAAAATCAGACAAAAAAACAACAAAGTTATAGTTATTTCACTGATTCTCCATTATACCCTATGGCCGGATCTCCGAGTCGGCTCCAAAGCTTGGCCGGATCGAGGCGGAAACCCGGTGCGGATTGGATCAGATCACGGCCATCTGAAGTGGCTGGATCCGAAGCCAGATTGGATGGCTGCTGACTCGCACAGGCCTCCTAGACAGGGAGCACTCCCTAGTAAACAGAGGAGACCCATGTGGAGCGCAAGCTGGGTGGAAGTCCAGCAGTGCCAGCGTGTGCATGTAGCTGTAGCTTGCTTTGATAAATGATATCCCATTTTGGATGAAGCGTGATTTCATATGCTGTAGCAAACACCTACAAGGCAATCCCCATCACAGAGAGAATGCAAGCTAAACACACGGTACAGATGAGAGAAGGAATACCATTACCATGGGGCAACAGAGGCCCGGAAGGTGCCAGGTTGCTATTTTAGGAGTCTCCCAGTGTGATTTTGGATGCCTCGAGGTGGAAGTGCCTGACTTGAAATACAAGAGGCAGCTTGAGTTAAAGGGGAATCTTTGTGAGCAGCGCAGGGTCTTGGACACAGAGCTGGGGAGTTCTGACTCCATATGGCAGAGGGCAGTGGGGTATGTGTGTCACATGCATGCCCACACACGTGCACACATACGTATGCACATGCGCGCGTGCACACACACTCATTGCTGAATCATCTGAGGGGCTCCTGTTCCCAATGCCCCATTCACCCCCTTCTGGTCCCATCTGCTCTGACAATGGGCTGCTTCTACCCATCTCTTCCCCAAGGGCAGAGGTATTTGTTTTAATGAATATATTTCATGTTCCGGGTCAAATCGGACAAATCAGTTTCAAATCCTATCAACCCAAGGGCAGAGCTTCAGGACTCAACAGCTGCTGCTGCTGTCTCCCTGCCCTGGGGTTTCCAGGCTGGGTGCAGCAATGGCTTGTGGACCATGCCTTTTCCTGTTGCTGTGGGAAAAACCGTAGTGTCAGAATTGGGTGTGGGGTTGTGCGGGGAGGCGGGGGGGAGGCGAGGGGGATTGCATCATTGTGTTTGTCAGCGATGCTTGTTGGAGCTGGGCTCCGAGAGGGGGGTGAAGGGACTCGGGTACCTCTCCTGGCAGGACAGACCTGCCATCAAGGGAACAACTGGCTCCCATGGGAAGCAGGGCAAGGCCCAGGGCTTTCAAAACAGGGCAGAACAAAGCTCTGGGTCAGAGTCTCTGTGACCCTTCTGGCCCCTTGACTTGCCAGGAGGGGAACCAAAGGCTGCTTCTCCCCTGCAGGATGCGGGTGCAAAGCGAAGGGGCGATGGCAGGAGGGTTGCAAAGGGCAATGGACTGTGGCATAAACAGAAAGTCCTTAGGGCACAGGGTAAACTCCCCATGGGCGGGGGCAGGGGGGTTTCCAGGCATCAGTGAATCCAAACCATGGGGCCGTTTTGGGAAGCAGCTGTTCTAATCTTGCTGGCCTATGTGACGGGCCCTCCCTCCCGCCCCAGCCGACTGGAGCTGCTGGTTTATGACTTAGGGCTTCAACTCACGATCCCCAACAGGAGAGGGTGGGGTTGACTCTCAGCCTCCCAGATGACAGAAAATGGCCCCAGGCTGCCTCTGGAGTTGAGATCCAGCCTGCTTCCCACCCCACCTTGAAAGTACAGCTACCAAGCAGATGGCCTGATGGTCCTAGGACCTGGAGCTAATGAGTAACCCAGCAAGACCCTTCTCTACAATGAGCCTGGACCCCACACTCCCCAGAAAGTGTCAGAGGGGCAGGTTTGCTTTGCCCTGCCATTGCTTGGGGAACGGCAAACCATTCCTGTTGCAACAGCTGGGACAGCACAACCCAATGTTCCCACCTCCCCTGACCTGGTCACATCTGGATGACCCATTGGGATAAGAGAGTGGGTGACTTATGAGCCCCAACAACTGTGCCCGCCATGGCTATGGGAATACCCCTGTCACCTCCTGAGTGGTCAGACAAGCCAGGCAAGAGCTTGGCACTTACCTGCAAGCAGGAGGAAGCTGAGGAGACTGGACTTCCGGGCATCCATCCTGCTGTGGCTGGCTGAAGAGTGGGGCAGAGGCAGAGGCAGGATGCTCTGATAAGGTCAGTCGCTGGGAGCGACTCTGCACAAAGTGATAACGAGCAACAAGCAATATCTTGTGACTTCCTTCTTCAGTTGCTGGTAGCAAATCTGGGGCGAGGCTCTGGGGTGCCGGCTGGCGTGGGTGGGGGATGTCAGAGCTCCAGTGTAGGGTGGCCTTCAGCCAGGCTTGGGGGCCACCGGTCTATTCCCAGCTGTAAAGTGTCATGTGTGAGAAATGATCTTGCTTCTAGGAACCCTTCCACCCTCCCAGCTGGCGGCTCTCCCAGGCTTGTCTAAAAGCTTTGCTGCGGGGTCTGAGGAAGTTTCCAAGTCAAAAAGTCCTTCTGAGGGGCCAGTACCAGTGATGTGCCAGTGCCACCCAGCGCAGGCACCACAGCGCCGTTCAAGAGAGCACTCCCCTCCTCCCACCCATGCTGAGCCAGGATGCACCCGGCTTCTGACTCCCAGCATGAAGCAAGGCTGTGGGCACTGGGATTGTCCTGGAGAGAGAGGATAGACCACGACCTCCATCAAAAGAAGTTTTCCAGCATCTGAGAGAGCCAAAGAGCCAGTCATGCTGCAAACTCAGGACCCCGGAGGACCCTCAATTCCCATGCACTTGATAACAACCATTTCTGTGCTGGAGATCACTTACCGTGGCCCTTGTACTAGATACGGTTGCTGCTAGGCCCCCTCTGTCTTCTTTCTAGATGAAGGCCACAGGAACTCAGGCTCCAACCCGAAGTCCAAACAGCCCTATGTCCTGTCTCCAGCAGCTGTTTTCAGGGTTGAGGTGAAGGAGCAAGGTGCTGCCAACTCCTCCAGGTCCTAGGGTTAGGTGTGGTCAAGGTGGAGAGCTATGAGGAGAGACAAGTTGTGCTCTATGGAGCGGGTTAGAAGAGACAGCTCAAGGCATTACCCAGCCATGAACGAGGTACCTTGCTAAGTGAACACTTTCCCCTAAAAGATGGCCCTTAGGATAGACAGTATCATCTTCGCCGTCTTCGAAGCATATGGGACTGTGCTCTCTAGACCACAACCTTTTATTATCTGATTTACCATATCTAATGCAAAGACATGTTTTATGCTAATGTCCCCATACCTATTGGCTCAAATTTCTACCTTCACTCCCTGTTACATCCCCACCATGCCCATACAAGGTGATGTTTGTGACATAAGATTAAAAGTTTGAGCTCCAGCTTAGTCAGCACAAAGTTTGGACCGGGCTCAGCGGTTTGGTACAAATGGCTCATATGCCTGGTTTTGCTAATCTTAATACAACACGACCTTTGGAAGTCTGCAACTCCAGCTGAGCTCAGCTGTGGTGTGGAAGCACATGGAGACGGGACCCGGAGGTGCTGGTGTGATGGAGACTCCCCTAGACATGGTGGGCTTTGCTCTCTGCTGGCCAGAGGATGTGGGTGACTGGACTGTGGCTCTTGGGGCAATTGCGAGCCCCCCTGGGTGCAGCCGGGAGATGATTTTCCCCAGCATCAGGCTTTCTAGGTTACAGACGACGGAGAGGATCTCTGGGCTGCACACGCTTCTGCTGACTCTGCGCCCTGCAGGCTTGAGTAGTGAGGCAGGAGCTGTGTGGCCTATAAATGGGGCACCGGGGTGGCAGAAACCGGGCTCCCTTCCATGCTGGGGAGGGGAAGGGTGCGGGAGACCACATGCCCTCCAGGGAGACAGAAGTGTCCTATTTCTGCCTCTGCCACTGGCTTGCTGAGTGACCCTGGGCAAGTCCCTCCATCCCCTGTTTTCCCATTTCCTTTAGGGTGGATCCCTGCCCGGTCTCAGTACAGGTACACCAGTCTCAACCCTCCCCTTTTCTGTGGTGCAGTAACACTGAGATATTGGCACTGAACTCTGTCTCAAGGTGCCGGGTGCTGCACGTACCTGGAGGCAAGAATCCCTGCGGCTGAACTCGGCAAGACCGCCAAACCCAGCGAGAGGAACACTTTGTTCCTCATTGCAGTCAGGATGTCCTGTGCTGCCCATACTGTCTGGCCAAGCGTGACTCCACTTGTGCATTGGCAGAAGGGGCTGCGGGGATGCTGCTTCTTTGGAAAAGGGAACAGCGTGTGACAGATCTCTGGGCGCAGCAGATTTTTCAAGGCGATACCAGATGAGGTGGCAAGATAAGAGCATGTGCTGTAGGCAGCTGCTGGGCTGCGATAAGGCTGCACTCCTTGACTGCAGGGCTCCCTGGCCCACTGAGCATGGCAGATTTTGGGGCGGGGGGTGGTCACAGATGGAGACCTGCAGTGGCCAACGGTGCCTCTGAGCAGAGGAAAGCTGCAGGAGACGTGTGCATGGGGTGGGCCAAATTTTGAAGGGAGCTCCAGCCACTGAGGGCAGTGCCCGTCCTCCTCCTTGTGCCATTCACAAGAAGGGCATTGCTGTGGGTGCAAGGCAGGCCTCCAGGCCTCAGGTCCATTCCCAGCTCTTTCTGGCAAGACCTAAGTCACTCAGTGTCTGTTCTTGGCTCTTCCTAGAAGGGCCCTGAGGTCTGTTCTCAGCTCTTCCCAGGAAAGCTTTGATAGATAGCCTCTTTGTACCCAGAAGCTGGACGGGGGCCCTCACATGGATGATCAGCTTGCATGGCCTCACCCACCACCAGCCAACAGTCAGCTGAGGAGGCTCCCCTGCTCCCCACTGAGCTGCCAGCCCCCCAGGCCTCCTGCTTCTAGTATAGGAAAGTTTTGCTTTCAATGTGCTTCCCCCTAGTTGGACCCCACAGTCGGGCCGACAGACAACACCCTGCTCCCTCCTCTTGCCCCAGCCTCTGGGCCTGAGGCCAGCCTGGAGCAGACCCCTTGGTGGGACATCAGAGCTGGCAGGAGAGACCTCCCTGGGGCCAAAGCCAAGTAGGAAAGCAGGACTTGGCTCCCTGTGTCCTACACTGTGTGCTACCCATGCGCAGTACACATGTGCACACATGTGTGAGCCTGTGTTTCATGGGGCAGTGGAGCAACTTCCTGCTTTGGAGAGTGGGAAAGTGCTGGGTTCCCACCTCCTCAGCTGAGGCCCCTTCATCCTAACCCTTCTCCCTCCTGCTATTCCCTCCTAACTGCAAAGTCCCTTGGCAGCTCCATCATCCAACTCACAGCTCTGCCAGTACCTCACAACTCCAGCCCACAGCCCCCCTACTCTGGCCCCCTAGGGCTGTTGTGTTTGCCCCCTGGCCTGCACCTTTCCCAAGCAGCGCGTGACCTTTTGCAGAGCCCTGCAGAGGGAGGCGAGGGCCCACTGGGGTTTGGGCAGCTCCCAGGAAGGAAGCGTTGGTTTCCCCATCCTGATCTGCCAGGAAGACAGCACCGAGCACTGGAACAGGCAGGAGGGCTTGGCCCTGCACGGGGAATGGCTGCCTGCAGGGCACTGATCACATCTCAGCCCCGGCATGAGACCAGCAGCTTCTGAGAGCCGTAGTGGAGCTGCAGCCTCCAGAGCAAGGAGGGATGGAGGAGGCAGCTGGTGGGTCCAGCCCCTGGCCCGGGGGAGTGAAGCAGGTGCTGGGTGAAAAGATGGCCAGGAAACCAGCCGGGAGAGGGCTCACCTGGGATGGAGGCCTGGGGGGAGCACTTGGCTTTGGCCCCATGAGCTGCAGCTGCCCCCCGCCCCAGCTGGCAAGAAGTCCCCAGCACTGGTGCCCCCAAGGGATTGCTACAAGAGGCACCAGCTGGCACAGCCTGGGGACAGAGGCAGATGGGCTGGGGTGCAGGGGGGCTAACTGTGCCATTCCTGGGAGCAGGGGTTAGGCAGTGGCTGGGTTGCCAACTTGCAGTTCTGGGTCTGTGCCAGGCAGTGATGTAGCATGCGCCCTGCATCAATGCTGGATTCAGGCCAGGCTCTGCTGGGGGGTCTCCAGGGTGGATGAGTGCTGCAGGACTCTTGGATCCCAGAGCCACTGTCTGAGTGCCAGGCAGGCAGGAGCATGAGGCTACAGCCTTCCTCCTCCTGGGGAGAGCATTAGTGCTCCCTACTTGGAGCTGGCTGCAGCTTTGGGATGGCAGTGCCCCTGGTGACAGGAGTCCCCAGGGACAGGGGGGCAGCACCTTGTGGGGTCCATGTTCCTTGGTCCAATCCCATGAAAAGCCTTCCCCTGGGCACTAGGGACAGTGTCTGCAGGAGCAGCAGGACGAGCTTCTTGGCCTGGCAGTAGGGCAGTGCCAAGGCATGGGAGGAGAAGCAGGAGCAGAGGCCATGCCCAGCACCTGGGAGGGTGCGGTGCCCAGGGCAAGCATCCAAGCAGGGGCAGAAGTGGTGCCGGGACCAGGCTGTGCTTGCTGCAACAGGGAAATGTGAGGGGTCTGCAAGAAATGGCCCTGCCAGTGGAGATCCTGGCATGCAGGGACCTTGGCATGGGCAATGCTGATGGATGAGGGTGCCCTGAGGGATGATGCAGCCCAATGGGGCTCTTGGTGGGTGGGGGAAGGATTGCCACTGGCAGGGTTCAGAAACACAGACGGTGTAGAGGAGGGAAGGTTCATTTACAGACTGCAGCTGCTCCCAGGACAGTGATATTTTGTGTTGCCCATGTCTGCAGGCCCCAGAGTGCAGCCGGTCCCTGCTCTGAGGACTGGCAGCCAAGGTCTGCCAGCCCAACTGGGCAGGGGAGGAGGCAGCCATGGGGGGACTCTCTGCTCCAGGGTGCCTGTGGACCCACAGTGACAGGCGCTGCATCAGGGACTGGCCTACAACACTTGGAGTCAGACTCCTGCAGACCCACCAGCTGCTTCTTCTCCATGCTGCAGCCTCCCTCTGTCCTCCTCTTCCAGAGCAGAGCAGGGCTGGTGTGGGCTGGGTCTTGTTCATTCCCATTTCGGCTGCTTGCCAGCCATTACGTGCACTGCCATGATCCTGGTGATCAGCATCCCTGGCACCAGCAGCTGGACAAGCCCCTTGGCTTGGCAGTAGGACAACGATGAGGCCTGGACAGGTGGGTTTGTTGGAACTAGAGCAAGGCAGAGGGTCAGAGCCAGGGGGAAGTGGCTGGTGCTGACCTGCAGTGGTTGTCCAGGGGTGCAGGGGGGATGGGGCCAGCCCCTGGGGTGCTTCCATAGGGAGGAGAAGTCCTGCAGGGAGCTCTTGGGCTGGTCTGTCCCTGCACAGGACTGAGTGCAGGTGGCTCCCTGGGTAGCAGGGTTAGGGGGAATGAACTTGGGGAGTGGGGCAGCAGTGCCTGCCTAGTCAGGTCCCTCGTGGTGGCAAACCTGGTGCCCTGATGCCCATTCTCCCCAGGTTCGGGCTGCGCGGAACTTCCCCACAGAGCATGTTACCTGCACAAAGGGCCTTGACAGAGGCCATCGTGGAGTTGCTGCCGATGGGGTTCTGCACTGTGCACATGACATTTATCAGAAGATCTGGGTGAGAGATTTTCATGGTGGATCATTGAGCAGTCATACTGTGGGGCTCTGCAGTGCTCCAGCTGTAGGTCATGTCATTGCCACCATTAGGGACTGTGCAGTTCAGGGTGATGGTACAGGGTCCATTCACACAGCTCCTGGCACTGCAGTGAATTGTGGGCTGGGGCAGCTGCTCTGCAGGAAGAGGAAAGGAACCAAAATGTGAGGATACAGGTCTGATGGGAAGAAAGCAGCACCCTGCCTTCTTGCAAGCATATCCGTGAGACACTACTGGGAGAGCAGAGCCCCCGAGACCACCAGGTGACAGAGCAGACAAAAACAAGGCCTAACAGCCCCCCTCAGGTGATGCTGGATGGGTCCGTGCAGGAGGCCCTGGGGATGGAAGACCCCTGCAGGGATGTGTCTGGGGTGAGATGTCCCTGATGACTGATATTTCTATCCAGGGATTTTTACTCAGGAATAACCATGCTCGCTGATAAGTGGGTAAAGCAGAGACTGCTCCCCTGGACCAGGGCACAAGCATGAATGCTTATTCACATCCCTAGGAGTATTCAGCACCATTCCCGTGCCCTTCCAGATCTTTACATTAACTAGGAGGTTGCAGTTCAACTGTAGGAGAGAGACTGCTGTGCAGGCTTGGTGGGCAGAGACTGTTTAACTCCTACATTGTCGAGTTATTTTTGCTGCAGAGTTAAAAAAGAAAAAAAAAAAAAGCACTCACCATAGACCCGCAGTGTGAAGAGCACGCCCTGCCGGGAGCTC